CCCCCCACAGCCAGCAGAAAATGAGGGATCTGCATGTGGCAGCCCCGACCCGGCAGCCGGTGTGGCTCCCTGTCCCTGACAGGCGAGCTAATGTGCCTGTAAATTCCTCCTGACAGCAAACGCATCCCGGCATCAAAAAATGACAAAGCACCCAAACCATGGAAGAGTGACAGCCAAACGGCTTCAATAGCACAGAGGCTGCACCGGGAGAAAACAGGCAGAGGCAGCTTGGATTAAAGCCAAGGACTTGCTCCAAGGCTGAGTAGAAAGCGCCCCTGTTTACACTAACAGGAGGCAGAGAAACCAGCAGAAATCGCCTTGGTTAATGGGCTGTCCTATAGTGAATTAAATGGGTAGGATTCTGGCTTATTAAGCGCCTCCTAGGAAAATGATTACCTGCAGGTGCCGTTCTGTTCAGAGATATTCCTGCAAAAAGACCTTTGAGTTTTTGAGGGAAGGACCAGGGCATCAGAGGGAAAGGAGTCTCATCATAATTTCACTAATTTTCACCTTCAAAATTATAATCACGACCATCACCCAAATGTATGTATTAAAGGCAGCTGTCTGTCAGAGAAATCACCCATGTCTTCCCAAATGTAAATCATCTGAGGAACCGCACGGCAGCATAGCCTTAATGCGAACTATTGCTGCAAACTGCAGGACTGGGAGGGTTTGGCCTCCCGGGCAGCTGTTGCTAATGGAATATGTGCGCTGTGTCCCCATCTAGCTGCTGGAAAAGATAAAAGCTTCATCTTAATAAGTATCTTTTTCAACTCAGCTGAGAAAAGCCCGCACAAGTTTTGTCCTCGCTTTTCAGGATGGCTTCTGATTTCCAAAAATGCCAAGTGATCAAGAGGACGTTGCTGGCTTGGATGGAGCGCTCGTAGGTGGCTCTGGCTGAACAGGGAAGAAAAGACACGCCTGGGGAGCCAGGAGGGTTGGCAGGGGTCATAAAATCTGGGTGCCTCATTAGAGGCCCTTTTTAGTGGAGCATGTAAACACACATCTCGGTTGCAGTGATGTTAATGGGATTTAAACACGTGCCTAAGCACTGTGATGAGCAAAACTGATTAGTTCATATAAGAGCCTAAGAGAACTTTTCCTTTCTTCATGCACCAGAATCTCTTTAAAATCAATGTGTTTATGCATCTGTGCTTGTGAGGAAGGAGAGTTACCCTTCAAAAATCCACATGTTTTATCATTAGAATATATTCTAGGTAAGTGAGCCAAAAGCACTTTAACAGTTTTGACCCTCTTCACACATTTCTTCAGGTGGAGAAGCTTATTGTTTTTCTCTTGTTGTCACTAGGTGAAATATATGATGCCAGGTGCTAATAAAAACAAACAAACAGAGGGAGAAAAACAGAGAGAGAAAGAGAGCAGAAATGTTTCTGATTTGGCATGTAACAAATGACCTGGAACCTCTTTTGTGATCATAGCAAACGGCGAGAAGACTGGGAGCGATCAATCTTCGTGCGATTAAAAGAGGGAGGCTACAGGCTGCGGGAGAACATCCTGTTCCATCTGTACGTGAGCACTTCACCCTGCGGAGATGCGCGCCTCAACTCCCCCTACGAAATCACAACCGACTGTAAGAAAAAAAAAATCTTCCCTCTCCTTTTTCCCCTTTGCATGGTTTTGGTCCTTTTTTTTTTTTTTTTAAGATCAGTCCTTCTTTCTTTGTTTGCTTGCAGAAAATGTGTTTCACTCGAGAGCAGAAACGCTGCGGGCTGTGCGGCGTGTGTGCGTCTGTGCAACTGGTGCTGGGTTCCGTGTACTGGGGGAAGGTGTGCAGGGAAAATCAGAGCTGGGCAAAGCAGTGGGAGACTGCTCTGCGTGCCTGAGCCTCAGTGGCTCTGCTAGGGAATATGTCCCCAACAGCCTAGCAGGAAATGCAACCCTAACACTAAATAACTGCCTTGGGAAGGGTCCACCACCTAAGAGATACTTGGAGCCATGGCCATGGGCTGGACCAGAGGATCAGGTCTCCAGCTAGGGATGCATGGACTTTTCTCAAGGTTTAGGCAGTACATACGGGCTGAAGGGCTGCATTTACCCCAAACCTGAGCTGTCCAGGCTGCAGCGGCTGGAGTCTGAGGTGGGGCGATGATATGATATGATACAATACGATACGATACTATACAATACAGGACATCTATAGTGGTGGTTGAAGCTCAGACTCTCTCCAAATACCACCTGCCCTTGCAGTGAATAACATCAGAACCCTTATGGAAAGGATCGTTGCCAGGCCATCCTGCCTATGTCAGATCAGCCACAGGGCCACTGCATGGCACATGGACTAGATGAAGTCCACCATGCCAGCCTTGGAGTCCCTGGGCCCATACCTATGGCATTTAAGTAGAAACATGGTTTACAAGGAATTTCTCCTCTAGAGGTGATCCTGCAAGCGAGGTAAACAAATCAGGTCTTGAGCCAGCATGGATGCCACCGAGAAACCTGCGGAGCTTGTTGTTCATGGAGACATCCCGTCTCCACCACATGACCCAGTACTCTCATCTCATCACCCCCCAAACATGCATGTCCCTGTCATTGCCCCACGATCACAGAGGCATAGCCTTGTTGTGTACCCACTGCACCAGCTTTGCCCCTGCCTAGCTACGCGGAATGCCCCCAACAAGGGACAGGGGACTCGAGAGGTCTGTGGCTTGTTTTCACATGCGTCTGTCACTCCATGATCCAATGCATGATGCACAAGGTGCACTTTTATCTCTGCCCTTGGGTATTGCTTCTCATACATGCATTTTACAGTGCTGTAATACCCACAGTGCTGGCTGCTAAACGTATATATAATGAGAAATAGTCCTTGCCCTGACTACCTTGAATGCGAAGCAGGCAAGACAGAAGAATGGATAGAGGAGGAAGCATAGACACAGGAATGTAAAATTAATCATCCAAGGTCACACAAGGACCTAACTTCCTCACAGGCAAATCCATCAGACGGTAGTTTCACTCCTGGTTCTTATTTGTACAAGTTATTTATTAACGATTAGGTATTATTCTCCCCAGACTGGAATCTTTTTGTCATGTGTGAAATAGCAGCTTGCTGGGGCGAGAAAGCAGAAAGCACCTATTCAGGAAGGAAATACACTTCCTTACCTGACATGATTTCTGCATTCTGTCAGCAGGGTTTATAAAATGAAGAAAAGCAAGTAAATGTTTAAAAGGCAAACAGTAAATTGGCAAATTCCTGATGAGGTAACAAAATGAGGAGACATAGCATCATCTTAAAAACAAAATTAAAAACAAAAAAGGAAGTGTCTATGAATATGAAAAACGAATAGTGATTTTGGCCTCCCACTTTATGTGTGTATCAAGAGTTTTATCAAGAGCCTTTATCTAAAAAGGCTTTATATTTGGTTAAAGGCCCTCATGTTTTCCAGAAGGCAGCCTTCCTGGGGCACCCGTTACTTGACATCAGAATTGGAAGCACCAAAATCTCTAATTATTTTTAAAATGTGGTCCATTCTTGAGAACAACCAAAGACTATCCAGGACAGATTGTGCTCTTTCATGCCTGAGGAAGCTGGTGCTTTGGGCAGCTGACGGCCAGCACTGCCTATTGATATGCAGCTGAAACCAGCCCTGGAAGTGAACCGTATTTGGCCCATGGATTGCTTCAAAAAGCACATAAATCTGCCAGCTAATGAGGGAATGCTTCTTTAGATAACAGTACATACAAGAAGCTGTGTTTAAAAATACATAATCACACAACACCTGGCAACTTGTAGGTGGTCACAAAAATACTTTTCACGATGGATATTGCACCAGTTATTGTCCCAATGCAGAAGCTGAGGCAGAAAGGACTGTGGGGCTTACCCAGGGTTACACAGTGATTCAGTAGAAGGACTTGAAGGGGCACTACATCTGGCTTGTATGTCATTGTTTTAAGCAGATCCCTCTTTGTCCTGTGCTCTTAAAATAATTTAGCACTGTATAAAATGCCATGTTGCCGAAAGCTGTCCTTCAGTGAGATAAGCATTTCCTTTTAGTTCACATTATCCCAGAGACATCTGGGAAGATAAGTATTTCAGAATGTTTATCATTCAGATCTTCTCTTTTTTTTTTTTACTAAAGAAATAACCTTTCTTTCATCCAGTAATGACAAGAAACTCCAGATGAATGCTGTTTCATTTCTTAAACAACAAAGCAGCCTCTCCTAGAGCTAGCACAAGCCATCAAACGTTACTGATTATTCTCTACAGATGCATTAACATTTAAAAACAGTGTCTCACCATGTGGTTTCTGGGTTTGCGAAGGAATATGATAAGCCTTTATCAATATAGGAAGTGAGTAAAATCCACTTCTCAAATCTCCTTCCAAAAATTTCCTATTATCCACCGTGTCTTCCCAGCACCCTCAGGGAGGCCTCACATTTCCTTCTTATGAGCTTTGTTCTGGTAAGGGAGGAGATAAGCTAGCATGCACTTGAAACCCAGTTTACTTCTTACTGTATAGTGCAGGGTACGAAGTTAGCGGCGCATGTAAAAGTCTGACCTTACCGTGGCTCATGTGAACAGCTGCAGTGCAGAGGAGAGATCCAGGGAGCCCACAGCCATGCCAGGTTCCTGCAGGAAAGTAAGAGATTAGGGACAAAAAGGAAATCTGACGTTGATTTGCAATGATGCCCTTCTTGGATCAGAGGTGAGCTGACTTGTTTGTTGATACATCCTTAGCCAGCTCTAAAAGAGAGGCAAAACCCAGCTGGACCAGGGCTGCTCTGAGCAAGGAAGGGTTTTCTAACTCTTTTTTGGTACCTGTACATCAGGAGGCTGGAAGAGCTTACGGGGGGATTCAAGTGAAACTGAAGCTTTGGGAGAGGCTGGTACAATCCAGGAGAGCAGGGGAGGAATCTGAGGGGAGAGGAACAGGAGTGGGTGACAGTGGGAGAGGAGACCAGCCAGGGTCAGTGGTGTTGCAGGAATAGGAGGCTGGGAAATGCCAGAGGGGTTTCAGACAGTTGTGAGAGTTTTTATGGGTTTGTCCTGGCTCCTTCTCTCCAGACAGTCTCCTTCCCAAGACTCTTTTCTCTTCATCATTTTCCAAGGTCACCCACAAGGTTGTAGCACAGCTATATGGGGAAGGCACAGCATGTGCCCAATGTCCTCACCACTCTCTAATTGCTCCTTCACACACTCAGCTTCTGCCCCTCCTTCAGTTCAGTGCTGCAGGTCAGGGAGCCTGGGACAACATCTCCTTTTCCAGTGCCTTCCTCTTTGTGTACATCCAAGCCAGGTATGCCTGGATTTCTGACTTCTCCTGAGGGTGGTATCACAGCACCAAGTTAACGTGGGTTTCCTGGAGTTTCAAGGGGGCTGATGTTTTCCATTACAGCACACATGCTCCAGCTCACAAGGTGGAGCTGCAGCCATGGGGGCAGCTAGCCCTGTAATATTTGTTGCATATTTTACACCTTCTCCTGAATCTAGGGCAAACTAAAGAATAATCAAGTCCTTAATTTGCTAAAGTGCCTTCCTAGCTAATTTAGGGCTTCTTGACTCATTGCCTTTTTTTTTTAAGAGCCTCTTGAAAAGCAAAATGCATTGCTTAAAAAATTGAACTAATAAATCCTCCACTTCCCTACTCCTCCTTCCCTGGCAGGATTTTACCTCATTGTCCATCTTTCTTCTAGAGATGTGCTCTCTCTTTTTCACTACACGGATTGGCAAAGAGACAAACAGAATTTGCCCCAGGGCTTGTATCCATTCTTCTCCCCTGGGCTGCTTTTCTCTCTCTTGCTAACATGCTGTATTGCCTTGTACCATTAACTCCTTGATAGCCCAGCTCCTGTTTTATCCCACGCTCCCTTTAGGTCTGAAACACACCATTGCATCTGCTCCACATGGGGTCTTCCTCCTGCTTGTCTATTAACCTACAGCTGTGCTGAAGCTCTCATGCACACACATTTGACAGAGTCCTCATCTAAACAGGATCCACTTGCAACCACGTGAGCTGGATCATTGCCTTGGTAGGTGATGTGATGGGGAGAAGTGGTGCACTGCAGTTTTCCAAGAGGTTGGGGAACTGAAGAGTACCTGGACAGACAAGTTTGCACTCTCTACTTCAAGTGTGCTTTCACTGTGCAAAGCTGTGATTTCCCTGCCTGTGACTCTGGCTGCTGGATTTTACACCCCATTCTCAGATAAAATGTTCTGTGTTAACCCCCAAAACTGGGGCTGCCTCAAAGGGTTGCCCTGTTCACACTGCGACTCAGCGCTCTCTGTTCAGATGGGGCTGACCCAGATTACATCAGTATGTGGCCCCCAGATCAGAGTCCCTGAAAGTCATATCCTGAGCAGAGTGGCTGGAGAGGGCCAGGTTCAAACAGATGCCATCTAAGGAGCCTGTCCATCAATAAAAGATGGACACAAATGATCCCCTGTGACTGTCAGGTGACTTTCAGCCCCAGAGCTCTGCATTCAGGGTCCTGCAGGCAGGTACAAGCATGCAAATACAATGAGGAAGCTTATGGCACCAGCTGGGCTAAAATCCCTCCCAAAAGCATTGGGTTTGGTGAACGTTATTGGACATGCAAGGGGAACAAATCCATGCCTTCCTTCTGCCAATCCCATGT